TGCGAGAAATTGAACTCTGGTCCTCTGCCTGTCTCGTGATAACACTGTGTATGATTTCCTCCACCTTCTCCCTCTTTATCTCCCGCTCTCCACTCGTGTGTGTGTGTGTGTGTCTGGCCTCCAACTCAGTGTGTAGCTGAAGATGACCTTGAATTTCAAATCTTCCTGCTTCCATGCTGAATGTTGGAACTGTGGATGTATGCCCCTACACCCAGTTTATGATGTGATATTGGGAACTGAGCTCAGGATTTGATGCATACTAGGCAAGAACTCCGTCAGCTGAGATACTATACTCCCAGATTGCTACATGCAGCTCCCCTCTTTAAACAACTTGGTACGCATCATCAGTGTACTTTGAGCTTTGACAAAGCGTCCACCAAGTGATTCAGTTTTTAAATTTAATTTTATTTATGTTTTGCAAAAGGAGGCTTTTAAAAATGATCAGAAGTCCTGGTGTGAGGTCCCAGGAACCCTACATGGGCCTTTAAAAACTTGAAAAAATAAAAAAAAAAAACCAAGTCAGAGTAGGAGCCAGCCCCGCTGCTCCTTAGAACCATGTCATCTATCCTATAATACTTTTCTTTGCAAGAAAGTTCTGTGCGTAACTTCCATAAACCCCGTCATGTGGAGCCAACCCTCAACCCAGAACAGGATCTGTTAATGATGACTGCTTGCCAGGAGTCCACAGGAAGCCACCAGACCTGTCGCAGGCCCCCTGCCTGCCTCCCGCCTAAGTCCTTTCCAATAAAGCTTCCTTTCATGAGGGTCTAAAAACACCGCTCAGATCGGGTTGGGTCTCTGCGTCTTCTGAGGTGAATGCTGGTGTCTGTGGGGCTGCAGGGAGCTGAGGCCTGCCTTTGAGATGGAGAAAACCACAGGTTTTGCTGGGAGGGCCAGTTTCCTGCCTGCCCTCACTCCTTTCTCTCATTCCTGAGGCTGGACTGGGTGAAGGGTGGCTAAGTGGGACAGAAAAACTAGCAGCTGCCCTGTCGACTGGTAGATCTTCCTAGAAGTAGGTGCTGCCTCAATAAACCCCAGATGACTCCAGACAAGACAGCTAACCACGCGTGTCTTGGTTTCCTCGGGTTTACGAGGAGGTTTGATTGTCCTGGATGGAGGTTGTTAGGGACGAGGGTATCTCTCGGCACTTCATAGGTGCTCGCCATTCTTCAGCTCCCTCTCTGCCCTGCCATATTGTCACCCGGTCACCTGCTGCTTCATTTTCCTGTGCATGCTTAAAGTTTCAGAAACATTGTAAAAACAGAAACAGGAAGTTCAAGTATTCTTAACCTTTACAAACATTTTGTTCTTTTTTTATTTCTGTGTCTATGTCTGTATGAGTAAGGCGGGTACCCGTGGAGGCCAGAAGAGGGAGTTAGCTATTTTAAGCTGGAATTTCAGAAGTTGTGAGCTGATGTGGGTGCTAGGAATTGAACCCTGTTACTCTGGAAGAGCAGCAAGGGCTTTAACCATTGATCTAGCCATCAATTTTTCCTATCAATTTTTTCTCCCCACCCCTTTTCTTTTGCTAGCCCAGACTGGCATCCAACTCACTGTGTAGTTGAGGATGGTTTTGAACTCCTGATCCTCCTACCTATACTTCCCCAGTGCTGGGATCACAGCTCTGCTCAGCTGTTCTCATTTGTGCACTGCTGGGGATAAAGCTCTGGCTTTATGAATGCCAGGCAGGATAGGCAAGGAGAGGGGAAATTTGAGGGACGTGTGACAGAGAGAAAAGTTCCTCTCCTAGGTGTCTGGTGGCGTGGCTAGGTGATGTGGGATGTCCTTCTCTATGTGTGTTGCTTTTATTGGTTGATGAATACAGCTGTTTTGGCCAATGGTTTAGCAGGGTAAAGCAAGGTGGGAAGTCTGAACAGAGATAGAGAGAGATAGGCAGAATCAAGCAGATGACAGCTAGCCTCCGAGGAAAGACAACATGTAGAAATGCCATGAAGTATTGCCACAGTCACGTGGCAATACATAGGCTAATAGAAATGGCTTAATTTAAGATGTAAGAGCCAACTAGAAAAACACCTGAGCCATCAGCCAATCAGCGTTGTTAATGTAGTTTCTATGTGATTATTCAGGTCTGGGTAGCTGGGCAGCACAGTCTCCATTTACACCTGGGGCCCAGTATTGTGGTGGAACAGGACTCATCTCAGTTAGCAGCTGTTAACGGCCTTTCTCCCTTCCCAGCTTCAAATCAGCACTCTCCTAGGAGCCGCCCTAGAAACTGCACTCGTGGGATAGACACGTCTGAAAACCCGTGCAGCCCAGTGGCTTCTGGTTCTACCTCCACTCGCTGTAACTCCATCTAAGGCATCGCAGAGCCTGTAGCTCTCTTACCAGGAGAGGGAGAAGAGGGAAAACTGGTTCTTAGCTGTCTTTTGGGATGTAACTTCAGGATTGCCAAAATGTCTACACAACAGATGCCAGGACAATTCGTTGCTCATTCTCCCTGGAGGAGCTGTGTCCATACTTGGTTGTGTCTTACTTTTCCATACTCTCTCTTGGGAAGCATGTGACCCCACTTGGATGTGTTGACCTTTGTTCTGAGTATCCCTCTTTCTTTTAACTCCCATCCTTACGCATGTATTAAATTATCTTCAATAAAACTTCCAACTCTACTTCAGATTGGCTAGTCCTAAAACTCTTTCAGTGTTGAAACCAGGAATCCCAGTTTGGTCTGAGTTGAAGTCCCTAAAAGCCATAGGGACCTCCTATGAGGGTGGCAGTGCATGGAGCTGTGTCCTTGTCACCGAAAGGTGCAGGAACAGATTCATTTTTCTCCATTGATTGAAAAATTAAAAGGCAGGAAAAAATAATTGACTTCACTGTAGAAAATAATTTCAAGATGTACCAGAATAAGCAAAATTGGAGTTTATTAAAAGGAGAACGTTTGAGGGCTGGAGAATAATGGCTCAGTGAGCAAAGTGCTTGCTTGCAAACACGAGGACCTGAATTTGGATCCCTAGCACCACGTCAAAGCTGGGTGAAGTGGCATGTATCTGTAATCCCAGGGATGGGACGATGGAGACCAGAAGATCCTTAGAATCCATTGGCCATCTCGCTTAGCTAGATTGGTGAGCTCCAGGTTTAGTGAGAGATGCTATCTCGAAAATTAAGGTGGAGTTTGCTTGATGGAGATACATCAACTGTCTTTGGCCTACACACACACACACACACACACACACACACACACGTACACGCACCTGCATGCACATATGTATAGGCACATCTACATGGACACATACAGCACACAGACAAAGTGTTACAAATGGGGTTTAAGGTTAACAGGGGTGTGGGCATGGCTTCTCATGGGGAACTTTGCTGGCATGTTTCAGCAGGAGCCATAGATAACATTTTGGCAACTCTCAGATGATACCTCAAAGGGTTGCTAAGAAATGTTACCCTCCCTCTTTGATAACTGAGATTGTGGGTGGCTTTAGAGGTGCCTTGGGTGGGCCTACAATCTGAGAAGATAAAAGTCTGGCCACAAGGCTTGCACAGCAGGGCTAAGAGATGTCTTGTACTCTCAATGGCTTTACTTCCAAGTTTGCTGACATAGAGTTAATATTTCTTTTTTCATGTGTGTATGTGTGTTTGTATGTGCACGTGTGGTGTGTAGTGTACCTTTCTGTTCAGGTGTGCTTGCCCTCAAAGGCACATGTGGAGGCCAGAAGTTGGCTTCAAGTTGTCTTCCTTAATCACTGCTTTACATTAAATTTTGAGGTAGGGTCATGCCACTTTGGTTAGGCTGACCAGTGAGTGCCAGGGTCCTCCTCTGCCTTGCCAGGGCTAGGACTGTGGATGTGCAGCACCATGCCGAGGTAGCTCACAGCTGTCTGTGACTGCAGCTCCAGTGTATCGCATGCATCTGGCCTCCATGAGCACCTGCACTCACATGCACAAACCTACATGTACACATAATCAAAAAGAATAAAGGCAAATCTTTTTTTATTTTTTTATATTTATTTATTATGTATACAATATTCTGTCTCTGTGTGTGTCTGTAGGCCAGAAGAGGGCAGCAAACCTCATTACAGATGGTTGTGAGCCACCATGTGGTTGCTGGGAATTGAACTCATGACCTTTGGAAGAGCAGGCAATGCTCCTAACCACTGAGCCATCTCTCCAGCCCCCAAGGCAAATCTTTAAAAAATATTCAGAGTGTAGGTTGGAGAGCTGGCTCAGCCTGAAAATGCGTGCTACTCTTCCAGAGGACTCATTCCTGGGAGGTTCTATTCTATAGCACCCATAGTAAGGGGCTTGCAGGGGTCTATAATTCCAATTCCTGGGAGATCTCAAGCCCTCTTCTGGTCTCTGTTGGCATACCACACATACACCCACAAATAAATAAATAAATCTTTAAAAAATAATTAGATGTGATCTCCATGGCAGAGGTTGGACTGGAATAGGCTGGGAATGGTGGCATCTGCATACTATCCAGAGGAAGGACACAAAGACAGAAAACAGTGGATGCATGGGAATAGCAAGGAGATGGCGCTCTGAAGAGAGCTGGAGAGATGCTCAGTGGTTAAGAGCACAGATTGTTCTTGCAGAGAATCAGGGTTCAGGTCCTTTCACAACCATCTGTAACTCTGATTCCGTGGGACCCGATGCCCTCTTCTGGCCTTAACAGACTCTTGCATGCACACGGCACACGGCACACAGACACACTCAGGTGCACACATGAACTTGTAAAATAAACAAACATTTATTGATAAACTTTTACTGCACTAGATTGCTTTTGGTCAGAGTTCTTTATCACTGTAATAACAAAGAAAGTTGGACATGTGTCAAGCACTCAGCTGCTGAACTATACCTCCAGGTCCTTGTTGCGGGAGGTCCTTTCGCTCCTCCAGCCAATAGCCGCTGAGATACCAGCCCATTGGGGCGTGGTCTCTCTTTTAAAAAAAGCAGCCACTTCCTCACTCTCTTTTGCTTCTGGCTCCGTTTCCGGCGACTAGACTCCCTCCTGATTGCGTAGAGGGCTGTTGTCTGGGACGGTGATCTGTAAGTTTTTTTCCCCTTTAAATAAATACCATCCTATTAATCACAATTCCAAACTGGTGTGGGATTGTTTGTGATTTACGCCTTCATCAGGTCCTTTTTTTCTTTCTCTTTCTTTCTTTCTTCCTTCCTTTCTTCCTTTCTTTCTTTCTTTCTTTCTTTCTTTCTTTCTTTCTTTCTTACCAAGTTTCATGTAGCCCAGGCCAACCTCAAACTCCCCAGATGGCCAAGGATGACCTTGAACTCCTGATTGCCTTCTTCACTTCTGAGTGTTGAGATTAGAGGCACACAGCACCGCATCCAAGTTCATGAAGTGCTACAGACGAAGCTTGCTAGGCAAACACTCTCCCATGAAGCACATTCCCGGCCCCTGTCATTCATTTTTGACACTTCTCTGATCCCGTTTCTCTGGCCCAGAAAACAGGCACAAGGCTCATTATGCGTTTATCAAGGCTTAACTCAATGCTAGAAAATGCTGTGTGGCTGGGAAATAAAGGCCATATTCATTCTGGAGGACATTCCTATGAGTGTGAAAGCCCATCGAGTTTCCATCTGAGGAAAAGTTGCCTCCTCACTGCTTGCCCCCACCCTGCTTCACACCCAGGAAAGCCTCGTTGTGCTCACTCTGGGTTGCCTTTCCCCAGCCAACACAACACAGTTCAAGGCTGTCATGGAGTGGATGAGTACCTTGGCCTTTGCTCCCGCCTGCCTGCCTGGGCTTCTCCCTCAGGAGGATGAGCCTAGTCCCAGCCTGTGAATAAAAATGTTATGTTGGTCCAAGGATCAAGTAACTGGCTTGTTTTCTTGAGGGCTGCCCACCCCCTCCTGAATTCTCAGAATTCTTGGCTCTTGGTAGTGACCCCAAGGGATCTGCTCCCAGGGCTGGGGCAGTTGGGAGGATTTGCACTGTAGCACACAGGGCCTGGCCTGGGTCCCCAGAGCGGGATGGATCCGGCAAGGGGGTACTGGCAGATGCATCACCGTAGCCTGGTGTGACCAGGGTGTTCTGGTGGGCACAAGCCTCACTCCATCTTCCCTAGATACTTTGGGCCAAACACAGCAAGTTATTGGGAAATTCTGGCTTCCTCCCCTTTCTCTTCTGCCTCTCCCAAGGCCAAGGATGGGGATTTGCTGCATGACTGGGGTGTAGGGGTGTAGTTACATGGTGATGGAGGCTGGAGCTGGCTGTGCCTGCGGATGGACTCTGTGATAAGCTGTTTCCTGGAGGTAGGGGTCTGTGGGGGATGTTTCCGGGCTCTTTGCCTCTTACCCAAAGAATTGAAATAAAGGGGGGGGGGGTTTACACAGATTTGCAAAGAAATCAAAGTTTATTAGGAGTGAAGCGGTAGTACAGATTAGCGAGGCACACTGTCCAGACCAGCAGCAGACCACAAGCGTGAGAAGGCTCAAGGGTCTTAAACCATGCCTAGGATCTCTTTCTTATAGGGTCTAAAAGAAGGAAGGGCTGGTTACTTCAGGGACTTGTTTGAGTGGCTCTGCTTTTTGATGGATGGATGAAGTCCTATGTTCATTCTTCCTACTGCATGAACCCTTCCCATAATGCATCTGATTGTGATAATATGCATACACAATTATGCACAGGCGTTAGGTGGTAGATAGGGGATTCTCTCTGGAAGTCCATTTGAAGAACACAGTTTGTCTTTCTGCACGTGCACCCAACATTGGTTCATGACGGCTGCCCCTTTTTTCCTTCATATTGGATACATTGGAATAGTCTTGAGTAGAAACTGTTTAAATTAGACGGTTCCTAGGAGTGGAGAAATCCATGCTATTGTTCAGAGAGTCAAGTATGTGTGGTCTGTTTAAGTGAAAGTTTGGGGGGTTCTGAGGTTGCTAGGCACATTGTTTGGAGAGGGGTGTGGCATAGTGCCCGTAGGAGTAGCAGCTAGGCTGCCAAGTGCATTGTTAGGAGAGGGGGCGGTGCGTGACTCCTCCCACTAGAGTCCCAGGCTGCTAAACTGATTTCTGTGCTTGCCTGCTCGACAGCACCGGTTTAAAGTCCCGCTGTGGGGCTGCAGGTGCGCTCCGCGGTAGAGCTCTTACCTGGCTAGCATGCGCAAAGCCCTGGCTTGGACTCATGAATTTTGGGTCCCTAGTTTTTGGTTAAAGAAAAACACCCACGCCTAAGTCCGGGTGTGCTCAGACAGCATCTGTATCAGGGTTCTCTAGAGGAGCAGAACTGATTGAATGAATATATATTACAAAGGGGATTCATCAGATTGGCTCACATGATATGGGCTGGATAGTCGAACAATGTCTGTCTACATGCGGGAGAGGCTGAGAACCCTGTAGCTGCCCAGTGCATAGCCTGGGTGCTTCAGGAGTCCCAGTCTGACACTGACGGCCTGGGATTCCTGGAGAGCTGCTGGTCTTCAGACCACCTTAGGATGCTGTAGAAGCTGGGCTCTAATATCGCCAAAGGATGGCAGCAGGTTTGGCAGCAGCAAAGCCCGGGCGCTCACCATGAGCAGGCAGAAGCAGCCTCGCTTTTTGGAAAGAGCTACTTACTCTGTGGGAAGGAAGCTCGCCCTCTTTTATTTAATCCTTTCTGGAAACTCAGGAACACTCCCCACTCGCCCCATCAAGATCCACCCAGAGGCATGGCTCTTAGTTGATTCCGGATGCAGCCAGAGAGTAAACACGTGTGTAGCTCTGCCCGCGGAAGGCAGAAAATATCCCGAAGATGAGCTTCTGTCTGTCTTTCTGTCAATCTGTTCAGCCGGAGAGTAGACACAGCAGCTGTGTGTCTTCTGGGCTAAGCCCCTCCGTTTCCAGGTTCTGGAATTACTGGCGAGTGGATTTAATAATCTGGGTTTTGGTTTTTGGTGTTGGCACCAGTAAAATGGGGGGATATTACCAGTGCCTACCTCTAGAGGGCACTGTAGACCTTAAACAAATTAATCCAGGATCAGTGCTTCTCAAAATCGGACTTTTAAATGTTTATCATGTCGCTATGGGAATTGTGCGAGAGTAGCATAGCACCATAGACTGGGGGGGGGGGGGTAGGGTGGGAGGCATCGTTGGCAGCGATTCTAGGAAAGTGAGGTGGTTCTGCTTTCATTTCTGCTGGATGTTTACTAACGTGCTTGGTGCACAAGAGTTTTCGGCGAAACCACTGATTAACCGGTTTTATAGACGTGAGGACCCCGAGTTCTGGCGACAAAAATCCCAAATGTTGCCAGATGTAGCAGCGCACACCTTTAAACCCAGCACTTTGGAGACAGTAAATCTGAGGCCAGCCAGCTCCACGCAGGCTTTCCAGGTCAGCTGGAACTTGCCAACAGCCAAACAACTAAAACAACAAAACAAAACAAAACACGCCCCCCCCCACCCCAACTCACATATGCCCAACGGCCTGTACATGCTTCCTGAGATGTCCACTGGATGCCAGTTACCTTGTTTTTTTTTTTTTTTTTTGGTCTTTTTTGTTATTTTGTCTTTAACTGGAGATCTTAGTATGATGCCGCTCTGCCTGCCTCCCGTGGCTGCTCTCACAGCCTCTCCACGCCTGAAGCACACAGGGGTAAAGCCACGTGGATGAAGGTCTTAGGAGAGGAGGACCTAGCTGTTTAAACTCTGAAGTGCTGAGCTCCTCTCCACCTTTTTATCCCCTAGGGCCCTGGGTTGGAAGGAATTCTGAAGGCTGGTTAAGATTTGTGAGCTCAGAAGGCAAATGGCTCTGTCCCTTTGGGAGTGAGGACACATGTGCCCCCTCCCTTTGGCTACCAGACTATGAAGAAAGGAAGGAAGGAAGGAAGGAAGGAAGGATGAAAAACTGACCCTGAGAAATTTGAATTTCCCCCGGGGAATCTCATGTTGGGAGAAAGAAAAGGCTGACACCTGGTGCGGGTGGAGAGGAAACTTCACACAGTTTCTGGTAACTTGTGAGACCACCCTGCTGCAGACACAAGCTGATGGTTAACAGTGGACGGGACCACAGTTTGACCAAGATGCTTCTTTGTGCATTGTTGCCTGCTGTTTAACCTAAACCTTGAGTCAGGACACCAAAGACGGACCGGAGGCAAGTCACTAGACCTCTTTGCTTTCCTTAGAGTTGCGAGGTCTGTGCAGTCGTGAGTGCTCAGTAGAATTTATCTTGGGATGGTAGCAATGGTAATAGTTGCTATTATTATTGTTGTTATTATTATTGACTTCCCAACCCACCTGCTTAAGACGACGTACAAACTTGAGCAGCAGGATCCGCATTTGGTACGTACTTAGAAACACTTGGTTTCTTTTTTCTGTCTCTTACCTGGCTTCTGCCTCCTCCCAGGTGGTGGGGTATGTACGCCAGTGAAGGCGTTTTTTAAACTTTTATTGATTCTTTATGGATTTCACACCATGCATCCTGATCCCATCATCCCCCTGTCTCCTCACTTCTGCTCTCTGCCCTTGCAACCTCCCCCAATAAAGTTTAAAAGTAAATCACCCTCCCCCAAAAAACCCCCCAAAATAAACCAACCAACCAACCAACCAACCAACCACCAACCAACCAACCAACCAACCAATAACCATCCAACCAACCAACCAAACAAACAAACAAACAAAAACAAAGCAAAATCTCGGCATGGAAGCTGTAGTGTGGTCCATATATCTTTACTTGTGAGTGTTCATGGCAATGAGTCGTTGGTCTGGTTCGAGGCCTCTGGTTTCTGCTACACCCTCAATTCTGGACCCTCACTGGGATTCCTATTGGATATCCCGTTGTTGCCTTGCGTCATAGAGGTCTTGTAGCGAAGGATCTGCAGGTCTGGCCCTTCACACGCTCCAGCAGTTCGTAGATGGGATGACTGTTGGGGTGGACCATCTCATAGTCCTGGTTCCGGGTCAGCCCACCAGCTTTTCATCCTTACCATCCAGGCTGGCTCTCCAGTACTGCCTCAGCTAGCCCCCCAATATAGTAGGTAGACAGTAAGGAGTGGGGCCAGTTCTCCTGCTGTCACACCCTGGGGTCCTTCACTGGCACTTACACCACCAGGGCC